ATATATATATATATATATATATATATATATATATATATATATATATATATATATATATATATATATATATATATAAAACACTGCACAATTTGTTAGGGCTTTCTACGGGAGCAAAAATAAAGACAGCAGGCATAGAGTTAATTGAATAATGCCTCTGGTAGGTGGAAATGAATTATCCTACTTTTCAATTAGGTACACAATTTGTTTTTATTTAGTAATTAATGAAAACAGTTTCTGATGGCAGCAGGCTAAAGGCTTCAGGGAGTGTGTGTGTGTGTGTGTGTGAAAAAGAGAAAGAGACAGTGTATGCTTGTTGCAGAGCTCAGCAGCCACAGAGCCTGTCGATCCTTGCTATGCTTCCTCTACACACATATATGCAGATGCAAACATAAAAAAAAAAAAAAAACACATGCACGCAACCACACTTAAAGAAAAACATATATTTTCTTTTTTGTTGTGTTCAATGTGACTCAAGGATACAGCACAAGTAAGAGAAACCACCAGTTTTTCTGCATATACATATGTATGTAGTATATATAATTACAATTTTCATGCGCATTACCTCCATTACCCTGATGGTTTTATTGTCCCCTGAAATTCCTCCCTGATTATATTTAATTATTTCAGAGTAGTTATTACACATTAAACCACAGAACTGGCTAGCTGTAAATTATTGCTAGTTTATTAATGCAATTCGAAGCACATTTCCTCATGAATTAATTTCAGATGTTAAGCATTTTTCTTCCCCCTCATTCTATTATTTTCTGCAGAATAATGTGTGCTATTTGCACTTTTTTTCAAGTAATGAAGTCAATCTATTCAGCTTAAGTTATAAAAAAATTTAGTCCATCTCAGCTGTTTTTATGTTGCATTTTGTGGCAAGAAATAGAGCTTTAAAATTTTGCATTTTTTACTGTGTTTACCATACTTATAAGCTGAGATTGCTGCAGAGAAATGTCCTGTTACATCTCTTGGAGTGTGTGTTAGTCACAGTTATGTGTCAGAATGTGACAGAGCAGTTTGCAAAACAAGCTTGTATGGAGAACTTGTATTTTTAAACGCTCAAGTGGCAAATACAACTTGGACAACATGCACAGAAATAAGATGCAGTTCAGTATGCACAGATAAAATATTTTATTCCTTTGACCAACTGTTTTTTTGGTTTACAAGGACACTGATAGGGATTTGAGCTGTGAAGGGCTTTAATTGAACCAAATACGTTACATTTCTAGAACCTGCTTCCGCTTGCCTCCATACAGCCTCCACAACAGCCACAGTGTGCTTTTTTTGGTATTTGTGCTCATTTTGGAGGTTACTTTTTTAATCTGAAACCATTTCAAAAGCACAAATGTAAATCAAGCAACATAGAAAACATACTTTTAGATTGTTATTCAGGAGCTCTTGGGCCCCCCCTGCTGGCCTGGTGTGCACTACACTATACCATTGATCACATGCTAAAGATACAAGGAAAACTAAGAAGGTTAAAGTATTTGCAGCCTCAAATACATTGAACGGAATTAGTAAAGTCACTGCAGAACACGGCAGAGGAGGCCCTACCCCTCTGACAAGAGGGTAATTTACTCAGACTTTAATTGATCAATGAAAACTCAGGCTTTTCTTGGAAGTAAAAGTCTTATAAATTAAACCCTGGGGTCAGAGATAAGAAAACGTTCAGAGGTAAGGCAGCCTTTACCCACCTCTTTAAACCTCTAACTTCAAATCAACTGCAGGGAAACGCAATGTACTCATCTTTAGACTGGCAAAACTGAAAAAAAAAAATACATTTGACTTCCTTGTGGAGAGCAGAGATCAGGGAATCTTATGAGCACAGCTTTCAGACCTAGTCCATAGTCTTAATTGAAAGTTTCAGTGGTGACTGACAGATAGCAATCAAAATATGTTGACTTTACCAACTTTTAGCAGAGCTAAAGATAGCTAAGTTACAAGCTGGAGGGCTAAACTGATGTTTTAATTATTTTGCAGCAAAACCAAGTATGAGGTAGATCAACTGTTCAGGGGCGGAACTAGATGCGGGGCCAGGGCTGGCCATGGCCACCCTAAGCCAATCATTGGCCACTCCTGTGGCCACCCCTTCCACTTTTTCCCTCTAATACAGACAGTAGCAACAGTAGTACTCTCAAGTGGAATATTCAAACCATTTTAATTTTCCATATATTAACATTTACTTGACAACAAAGATACTGTGGTTAATTGTGCACATAAATATACTGAAATTAAAGATAAGTACATAATTCATGCTCTTTTCAGATCTAGATTTTGTGTTGTAGGGCGTAAAGAGAAAATTATGTGTCTCTGCAAGTCATCTAGGAGTTTTCAGTGAAATCATAGATAAATAACCATTTTAATAAAAAAAATGTTAAATAATAAATGTATGTAGATATTATTACTTGTAAATATAATTTTTTGCAGAATGATTATTGATAAAAAAAATAAGTAATGACAATGTAAAAGATGTTTGCCCCAGAAACATATATAGTTATATCCACTATGCACTATGCACTATGCATCTATCTGTTAGCAAAGGCTGTAGGAAAGGATAGTTTGCCTTCATTTAGAAAACATGGATGTTGTGCTCCTTAATTTTCCTGTTGGAACAGTTTAGCTTAACCCTGAGGTTATGCCACCCCTCAACACTTATTCTGCAACTGTTATATCAAGAGAGATGAGAACACTAGAGTGAGTGATAAGAAAATAAATACAATTTATATATAAATACAAATAAATACATAATCAGGCAATAGAAATATAGTCCATATTGGAGCAGGTCTCTCCCCTCCCCGCTGGTGGCGCCACTATTTTTGCTGACCGTGCAGCAGCCCTGCTGTTAAAGGTGTAAACCCCTGTTGACATGCAAAGGCAACCTGCGTCACCCCGCGCGCTCTTCCTACTCCATCCTGAACGGATGCTGCTTTCCCTATAAGCTCCGCTAATGGCCATAACTAACTTATCCCCCGCGCGCACGGGTCAGCGGTCGCCGAGGCAAGGAGAGCGCGCGCTGTAATCCAGGACGGTGCCATGGCGACCACTCTCCTCCGACCCTGGCGTCCATTGACGCCTCGGCTCCGCAGCATATGGAGTAATTGGTGTGTGATTGGGCTCTCTGGGGGCTCGGGCATGTGTGGCGCGAGCGTCTCCTAATTGGATTTATTTGTTTTGATACATTCTAGAGGCGTTCAAAGAAAAAGAAAAAAAAAAGTCCGCAGCAATTTCCGTGTCTTCCACTTGTTTAATTTACAGCTCGCTCTAGAGTCACAGCTTGATAATGTGTAACATGTAAACAGTCTGCAAATAAAAGCAGTTACACTTAACAAGCGCCTGTGCGGTCATTGTGAAGTCAGGGATTACCGCGGGGGATGTTTGGAGTATCTTCTGTAATTGTTTGATGTCTGAGCTAAACCATGTGTGTGTTTAAAATGAAATTGAACTAGAGTTAAGGTCTTAGGGTGGTTGGTATATCTTTGCTCTATCATATTTGCACCAAAAGATGGAGAAAAAAATACCTCTAATCAGATTTAATGAGATTTAATCCCATGCTGTCCAATCCTACTGTAAAAATCCCCCCCTGAAGAATTAACTCCCTGAAAGTTAACAATCTCATGTTGCTTTTGTGGCCTGTTTGTGCCAACATAATAATTACAGAGCACTTTAAATAATAGTGTTTCCAATTGTCACTCTGCACTGTAAACATCTAAATAAGTCAGTAAAAATAGGCTTTCCCACTATCCGTTCACACAGTTTTGTGTTTCCAGCAGTGCCCTTGCATCATTTGTGTTGCAAACTGCTGCTTGGGCTGGACTAATTTTCTTAAAAAGCATGTTTATTTATAAAAACTAAATTTATTTATCATGGTGACCTATGTTGCTTGCTTTGTATACAGTTCTACAGTATATTGGTGGATCAAATCAACCAACTTATTTAAATTCATGGTTGTCCTGATGTTGGAGAAAGCCTCGGAAAATGCTCTTATTCACTTTTAAAGAGAATTTCAATTTCACAGCTTAAGGATAAAGAGTGAAAAGGCCCATTAGTTTTGCAGAAACTAATCCACATATTCTGCAAGTGTTTGAATTAATCTCACAAGACATCTACAGGTAGAAACATAAGAAAATGAGTGGAAACCAACTGCATCCCCATTGAACTGCCTCCCCATGTGGCCCAGGGCATAGAGCCATACAGCTGATATCAGAAATGTCCACCTGTTACATGCTTGATGCAGCCTCCCCCCTTCTTCTCAGATATAATAAATTGCATATTATTCAAACTAACCTTGGGTTTATTCAGTCCTCCCATGTGGCTCTTTTTGGTTTTCACTCTAATAAGTTGCCTAATAACATCACAGGCCAATCAGGAGAGGAGAAAGTGGCACCAACAGAAACCAGAGATAAGTGGGGAGCTGCTTGTGTGGTTCTGAAAAGGTACCACGAGCTGACCCGCAGGCCTCCACTGGCAATCTGATCAGACAGACCCCAAACCACCACCCCCCCGCCCCATCTCATGGGACCTGAATGTGTACACCATGCGCTCTGGCCCCCATTGTCAGCTCAGGCTCTAATAAATTTGTTCCTGCTGCAGGCGAGGCTTGTTGGAAATTAATTTTATCTAATTATACTGATGTCACCGTCGCCTTTCAGCTCGTAATTAAAATCTGACCTGCGAGCTTCTGCTTCCTACTCTTTGATAGGGGAGGAAAAATTGAATTAAACAAATCAAATATTAGGTTTTGATTGTGTTTGGAGGCTGATCATTGGTATGTCTTGTTTCTTTTCATTGTTATTCCAGCGCACCGTGCAGAAAAACGCAAAGTACGTGTGTCTGGCCAGCAAGAACTGTCCTGTGGACAAGAGGAGACGCAACCGCTGCCAGTACTGCCGCTTTCAGAAGTGCCTAAGTGTGGGCATGGTTAAGGAAGGTAAGGATCATCCTAAATGAAAGCAGTCGGCAGCATAAACATGCAAAATGTAGTGCCTTTTGATTGTATTCATAACCTTATGGCCGAGTTGATATATTTCAACTTCTGATTTCAGTGGATTTTGTTTGGAATAATTTTATTTTCAAATTTTATTTGACATCTGATAAGATTAGCATTTCTTTTTATCCATCCTGAGTCACTACTTTGTTCTATGGTTCAAGTCTTTTTGAGGAATATCTCTACCTAAGGATTATGCTTTGATCCAATCAGCCTCTCTGACCCTTCGCTGCCCCATAAGGAGACCATGGTCCAGGAGATCTAAAGTTCAAAGTTACTCTTATCTGACTAGAGCAGGTTCTTCCACATATTTCTCAAGTGGCCATTTCCAAACTGCTTTCCTCCCTAATGACCTTTTAACATATTGTCAGTGAAGAACTGTGAATCCTATACCTCTTCTAGATTCTATTGGTATGTTGTTTTATAACCTAATGCGATTTTAAACTTTGGTACTTGATCTCTGATCTATCTATCATGTTCACTGTGCTTCAAGATCGGCCAAACTTCACTAAACCTTTGAGTCCTTCACAAACCTTCACAAGTCAGCTGAATTAATACTACAAACAGTCTATCGACATTTATGTGCTACTTGGAGCTACTTTATTGCATAAAACCCCCAAATAATATTTGGAAGTTTGTTTTTTTTGTGACAAAATGTGCAGAAGTTTAACAGGTGGAAATGCTTTATGTGTTCTCCCCCCCTGCTGGTTTTCAGATGGTCTGCAATGAACCACATCACAGACATTCATGCTGTGGACAAAAACAGACCATAAAGAAATGAACCACACCAGCCTTATTGCTTCCTAAAGAGTCATAGCTGACCCTTAGAATCACACATTCTCACTGCTTCTTTCTGTACAGTGTTTTTCTCATGTGAAAAATCAGTGTGATACTCATAATGTCCTCATTCCCCTGAGGTTTCTCACCTGTCTCACACATCCTGTAATACCCCCACCCACATGCAAGCAGCACATTAATGCAAATATACCCACAGAGCACATATTCCTCTGCCTCACTAATACATGTACCTGCAGAGAAGCTCCACTGCCACCTGCTGGCCATCTGTGTGAGAAAGATGCTCATGCTGGACAGCTCCTGAGGGGTTTGGGTCACTAATTTGGAGGCAGAAAAAAAAAGATGTAATTCTGCTTTTCGTTTTTCTCTGCTTCACAGTGGTCCGCACTGACAGCTTGAAGGGGCGACGAGGCCGCCTGCCCTCCAAACCAAAGAGCCCCCTTCAGACAGAGGCGTCTCCCCCTTCTCCCCCTCTCAGCCTGCTCTCTGCTATGCTCAGGGCTTACTCCCACTGCACACCACGAGACCTTGACTACAGCCAGGTGCCCACTCCCACCTTCACATGCTTAGTAAAGGTCAGTCTGGTTTCGTACAGTCTTGTTTTATCATTTCTTTCTTTCTAAACAGTTCAGCGCGGCCGACCCTCCGTCATCCACCTCAGATGCAGAGCATATCCAGCTCTTCTACAGGCTGCTCACTATCTCGATGGAGACCACGAGGTGCTGGGCCGAGCGGCTGCCGGGCTTCACTGAACTCCAGCGTGACGATCAGAACCTGCTCATAGATTCAGCCTTCTTAGAGCTATTTGTCCTGCGACTTGCATACAGGTAAGAAAGATGTGGAGGTGTAGAGGATGAATATACTTTATTTTATCTAACACAATATTAGTAGCATAAGAGATTCTATATCCCTTTGGTATCAGATTGGAGTGTGTAAATGTGCTGGCAAAGTTGGTGCGCCCCTGTGTTGGTGTATCTCCAAAGTGGGAGGAGTGCAGCTGAGTAATCACCATATGAAGCAGATTATGAATGGAGTCTTTAGCTATGACAGCAGCTACGCCCACAGAGTTCCGCTCCGCTCATCTGATATCTGACGCACAGAGGGGCCTGTGTGTGTGTGCAAAACTGTGCAAACTCTGTGAACTGACAGCATTGATTCCATCTAAACGCTGGTCAGCTGAGTGACTGAAGAGAGTTGTTATGGAAGGAAATACGTGTTCAGCTGACTAAAAGAAGAAGGGGGCTGGGTCATACAGCTCCTTGTTAAACCACTCATACCACTGGAACGTTTTTCACATTTGTAGCGTTATACCCAAAAACCTCAATGTATTTTTAGATAATTTTAAGAGAATGACAAACATGATAATTGTATGTCAGAAAAAAGAGAAAGGTTTTACTTTTAACAATAGGAAGTTTTGTGTAGATTTTATTAAGACTGCAACTGAGCAGAGAAGCTAATGGTAACTTTGGAGGAGCTGTAGAGTTAGGAGAATGAGTCTGCAAGATGGTTCTGAACTACATAAATATGGCCTCATCGCTTGACTTGAGCAGGCAAGTAAGAAAGGTTGCAAATGGAGTAAGATGATATATGTTTAAAATAATAAGAAAATAGAATTCCATTACATTATCTCAAGAGCATACTATCTAATTATCTTATATTGAGGACAAAAATCTGAATTTTATTGGCTGATCATATTATTTACATGGTCAAATGGTCAAAATACATTTTTTAAAGGAATTATTTGCTTTTTTAGATCATTTTTTTCAGTACTCTACTCGGGAATGACAGGAATGAAGGAATTTTGCTAAAATTCGTGAAGCAAAACTGGAGGACTGAACTCTGATCTAAGTAGAACCAAATAAAAGTTTAAGCAGAAGAATGACTATTGAATCGTTCAAAGTTAAGCGGTATTTGTGAGTCAGAATGGCCCAGTCAAAGTCCAGACCAAAATTCAAGTTAGAGTCTGCTGCAAGTTTTTAACATTAAACTTCGAAGATGCTTAACGTCCATTTCCACTCAGCTTGAACTATTATACAAAATTAATAAATAAAGAACTAGTACAATTTCAGCTTCTTTGACGTGAAATCCTTTTATAACACAATAATGTTTTTGGTTATAATCTAAAAAAAATGTGAAAAGTTCCAAAGGTGTGAATGTTTCGGCAGGGTACTGTGTGTAGAAGCATGTGGGTGATAGCTGGTGCCATAGCTGCTAGCCTGGCCTGTCTCTGCATCAAAATGATCCTGGGTTACGGATCTGCTTCTGTAAGGCATGCAGCTGGTTAAATTTATGGGCAGGAGGAGAGGGAGGGGAGGTGGCGCTACAAGCTCGTCCTTTTGTCTGAGCTGTTGTCTAGGGCAGAGGACCAACACAGTCAGGCAACACAGGCGCGCTTACTCAGACTCCCTGACGATGTCGAAGTTTCTCTTCTCCCAGTTGAGGTCCAGGTGCAGGGTGGGTAGAGGACGGGTGGTGGCATCACAGTCCCAGCAGGAGGGGCAACTCTGAGTCACACTAAAGGGCAGACAAGCATGCATGCATACAGACACATGCATGCGCTTCTCAGGTTCCCAACAGCAAAACTCCCACAGCATAAAGGAAACCACACACAAACTGTGTGCTGCCTTACTTTTTGTGCAATCCTCAGATCCCATCACTTCGTTCCTGTCCTGACCTCGTGCTGAACCAAGATGCTTTCCTGCACTGCAGCCCTCTACTCACAAACGAGTGTCTAAACCCTGAATGTGTCTGTGTTCCTCGAGCTGCAGAGCAAATTTGCTTCACTCTTGTGGGATCCACATCACTGTGAACCCCTCCATCACCAAACAGTTTCTGTGGTTATTGGCTGATAACCATAGTGACAGCGTAGTCAGGGGGGAGTGGAATGTGTGGCTGACATCCAGCTGCGTGTGTGTGTGTAAGCGTGAGTGTGCATCTGCCTGGCTGCTTGTCTGCCAGTCCATCAGTGTAGCACTGATCATGTGCTACTACCAGACAGAGGCCAGGCAATGCCATGAAATGAAGCCAAACATTCAGCTGAGGGGCATCAGCTTAATCGTCACCAATCAGATTTTGTGAGGAAAGACAAACAAACTTGATTTTGTTTCAGCTATTCTTAGTTTGGCTCCTTGGGTTACACGCATGTCTGATTTGAAAATTTTATGGGAGTTTTCAGGGAACATTCTGCAACCTCGATTTTTAACAGTCTGGTTAAAACTGAGCAACACTTTGACCAGGACACAAATAACACCACAAAGTTTTCTTTTTTTTTTGTGCACTTAAAAAATAATAGTAGTGACTAATGAATTTTAGCTTTGGATCCTTTTTGTGTATAATATTACTACTTTTAAGGGATGCTAGGATATTATTCAAGGCGGTGCAGATTTGTGACTTGATTAGAGTGTGATGTGATGATGATTATTGTGAATGCCTAAACGTTTTGTCCCAAAATGCAAAATGATTTGAAAAATCCATAGTTTTTTAGTTGGTTTCACAGTCAGTCTGAAGTCTGCTGCAAATACAGTCTAATTTATTTTCCTTTTAGATGAGGAAGGCTTTTTTTTTTTTGCTAACTTTCAGTCGGCTTGCCAGCAGTGTGTAGCAGCAATTTAGGAAGCAAAGAAGCAGGACACTTAATTCTCTGTTTAATCCGAGCACCTGCACCTACTTTGGGACTGTAGTTTGACTTGAAGTCATTAGCTAGCCAAACCCTAACTATGATCTGTAGGTAATAAAAGTGAAGAATGCAGGGTTTTATTCTTTCTGAACACTGTGTTTTAGAAACCACCATGGTTAGAGGAGGAATGAAAGCTTTGAAAGCTTTTCAGAGGTTCCTCTCTAGTTTCCTGTTGAGAACTTTCATATAGAGCTGATGGTGTGAAAGGATAAAGTCAAAAACAAGATCACAGCTCCCTGAATTTCATTTCTTGATACCTGCATTTATGTAATTCTGTGATATCTTCAGAATCATTCTGATGTGACATGCTAATTTAGAAATATTTTACCTTAACCTGTTATGTTCTTACGTGCTGTGTTGGTGGGCGTAGGGTATAACATAAAAGTGCATAGCAGAGACATATGCTAACACAAATAAGGGATGTCTAATAAAAATCTAAAGCATTCCTTAGATATAGATTTAGATTTTATTTTTTTCAAATCTTGCAGGATATGAAAACCTATTTTTCATGCATGTATAAAAGTGTGTATTATGTGATTTTGGCTAAGGGGGTAAATCTTTTCATCTGTAGGGAGGATAATTAGAATCAAATGTTGCTGCTGCTTAGTCCTATAACTGCTAAACCAATGTTTGCATAGACTGTAATTAGTGGCTTCCAGGTCTTTTCCCTAATCCCCCATTTTTTCTTTCTATTTGCACAATTATCTGTTTTCCTCTCTCTCTCTCTCTTTTTCCTCCCGCATCCTTCCATCTGTCCTATGCGTCATTCATTGTTTGCTCCCCCCCTTTTTCCTGCTTTGTTGGATAGTAAAAAAAATGAAAGCGGGATGTTGTGTGCCGTGAGTAAGTGATGGTTAAATGCATCCAAGAGGCCTTTTCATTTCCTCATTAAAGCTTTGTGTTTCCAGTGCACTCCACAGCCGGGGGACATTAAAGCTGTAACAGTTTACCTATCTGCACACACACACATGCACATACTTTGAGCAGCCTCCACTTTATACATCCATCCAACCCTGCAACAAGGAAATGCAAGAATTATTTTAAGTGCTTTAATTTAGTAAAATACACGAGTTAAATATGATGCATGTCTCTGTTTTATGAGTGTCTTGTCTCTAGTGCAGTGGTTTAATTGTTTCCTTCTCAATGCCTGAAATTAATCACAAGAAAATGCAGCATTTTTGTTAAAATAAACATTTGACAAGTAGTTTATTTTTTGCAATTTCTGTTTCTCAGATCAATGCTGTCAGAGGACAAGCTGGTGTTCTGCAACGGCTTGGTGCTACACAGGTTCCAGTGCCTTCGTGGGTTTGGAGAGTGGTTGGACTCCATTCGGGATTTCTCAACCCACCTTCAGACTCTCAACCTTGATGCTTCTGCCTTCGCCTGTCTCTCTGCCCTCGTTCTGCTAACAGGTAACAACCAAAATAATAATAATAATAATAATAATAATAACTACCTTTAAATCACTCAAGATGCTTTATGTACTGTAGATATCAAAATACACAGTTTACAATTTGTGCCCTAACAAGCAACATTTGATAAACTATTTAAAATAGTGTTTCACTTTAGCTGTGATTGGTACCCTAGTAGAAATGAAAAAAAAAAAAAAAAAACATTTATTAGATGTCCATTTATAACATATAAAATAGGCGGTTGTTGTATTGGGGAATTGTTTTTCATAAAATACCTTGGATTGGTCTGAGGAAGCCAAAGAAAATTTAAATATTTAAATGGCAAACCAACAGAAACGTGCATCACCAGAATAACTTCAATCCTATAGTCACTTTCTATAGAACTGGACTTTTTCTTTTCAGTTGATGAAATTAACAGATCTGAATATATCCAGGCAAGAAAGCTATAGATGACACTGGATTTTTTTATTTATCTTAACATCGATAAATCCATTCAAGTAAAAAATTGGATTTTTCTAGTATAGGATTCAAGTTTTAGAACAGCCAAGTCTAGATAACAAAAAGTGTAATGAAAACAATTTCATTAATTTAGATAATAATTTTAGGAGAGCAATATTTGCAATTTAAGACGTGGAATTTTGATAAATGTCTAAATAATAAAACACTATATGCTAATATTTAGTTGCAAGGTTCTTTAATGATGTATCATTTTATCCTTTTTTGAAATGTAAACCGATTTATCTATTTCAGTTCATTTGCACTGGAAAAATATCATGTTAACTATATGTAAAAAAAAATTTAATTATATAATTTGAGCTTAAAAACCAGAATTTTAAACAGTGGTGTTAACACCATGCAAGGTGTTTCTTATCTTTTTCCTGTATTTGTTCGAAGCGTGGGGATTTTTTTGTCACCAATCAGGTGGATATATCTGCTGATGTCACACAAATGCTCAGAGACACACATGTGAGCATGTCTTCTCACGCAACTCTGCCTGAAACAAGAACCCGATACCCAGAAGCACCTGCTACACCTGCCACACACCTGGCCCCTCTAATTAGTGTCCACTGGTGAAAAATCAAGCCTTTCTCCACGGAAGCACCTCTTAAACACACAACTATCATGTTGTCTGTAGAATGCATTTGAAATGTAACCTCAGGCTTCAAGTCTCCAAAAGATGCACAGAAATTATGTGCTGAGATTCTATTCTTTAAAGCTCAAATTTTGAGTGAGATGTTAATGTGCAGTGGCTAAAATCCCCTTCCACCTCAGCCATACAACCCTACCCTGCCCCTCTCCTTCTCACTCTCTCTGGGGGAGCACTTAGCTCTGTTCCCAATCGACCAGCCCACCATGGGACACGGCTCTGGAACGCCGTCCGCGGCGTTCGCAGTGGCACTCCACCACCTCGGTAAAGCACACAACGCGTACCCACGGCAGAGCCACCAGGGCCACCGGGCGATCGACCACTTTGGAGTGGCCTGTGCAGAAAGGGCCCTCATCGATTTCTCCCCGGGAACTGCCGCACATAGAGAAAGAAGGAATGGGCGAACGAGAGAAAAGCAGAGAAGCAAAATAATGAAAGGGGGGGAAAAGAGTGCAAGAGGTCTGAAAGGCGCAGTGGAAGGTTTGCTGGAGTAACTCTGCAGCCTCAAATACTGCAAACAAAAGAGTCACATAAACAAACAATAAATACACTTCCAATAATGGATACCTCTAAGTGAGACTGGTCTCAGAGGCAGCCTCCCTGCAGCACCATGTTTGTGTGTGTGTTAGGGTGTTGGTGGGGGGGCAGGCTGGACACCCTGTTCTCTACAGAATGAGTTAGTGTCACATTAAGTCTAATACGAGTGCCACTGGAGTTGCTATGGGCAGCAGGAGTCTGCGGCCTGCATCAGTGAGTCCGTGTGTTTTCCTAATTAAATTTGGCTGCTCACAAGGCCAAATAATCAGCTAATTGTTGAACACTGTTGTGTCTTAAATTCTCTAAACTGTAGGGCCTATTTGAGCATCTGCCTGCATTCATTTAAGTTTTTATGAATGACAAATGCACAGCATGCGTTTATTTCCATGGTTATCTATATTTCTATGGTATGTGAGTGTTTGTGTTTGTGGAGAGAGGCTTATTAGGTTAGACGAGGTATTGATCTGCAACAACTGAGACAGCGTAAGGCTGTTAAGGACATGAGCCATACGGGCTAATGAGGTGCAATTCAATATAAAACAAGATGAGGCTAATGTTATTTTACCTAAATTAGCTCTGATGTATGTATATGTGTGGGTTTGGGCTTTTTTCTGCTGACTTAATTTTTGCCATTTTCCCCTGTTTTTTTGTTAGTTTTTTGTTTTGTCTTTTTAATGGGATCGTTTCAACTCCCTTATTTTGTCTCATTTAAACCAAAAGCTTCAAATGAACGTTGTTGGCAGTAAATCATTAATTTAATTGTAAATAATTATGAAGTGGAATAAAATCAAGAAATGCTTCAAAATGTTTTTTTTTTCAGCTCTATTTAGTCTGATCTCCTCAAACAAAACCTTTTAAAGTTTGTTAAAGGCTTTAAATGATAAAAACTAAAGGGGTAAAGTTGTGCAGATGTCATGTTAACCCGTGGATTGAAAGTCTTAGGAAACCATTATCAGCATAATATTTGTAAAGAGACAGTAAATTACAGCTCTAATGCTCCTGTATTTGCTTTGCAGATCAAGTCACAGGTCTGAAGGACTCCAAGCGTGTTGAGGAGCTGCAGAATAAAGTCATCTGCTGTCTCAGAGACCACCTGGGCTGTGGCGCCTCCTCCTCCTCCACCAAAGCTGCGCCTCCTCTGAGCCGTGTGCTGGGCTTGAGGACAGAGCTCCGCTCCCAGAGGACCCAGGGCCTGCAACGGATCTTCTACCTGAAGCTGGAGGACCTCGTCCCACCCCCGCCGTCAATCGACAGATTCCTGGAAACCTTGCCCTACTGATGACTTGGACTGACTGTGTAGCAAGAAGCCCATGTCAACGTCCTGTTCAGGCCTTTTAACCCCCGCCTCCACAATGGAGGAGAGAGCGAGAGAGAAAGAGACTCTCCCTTCTGACCAATTCAGAGATGAGAGAGCAAATCGAAAGCATCTCACTCAGTGGGGGTCCACCAATCGGACAACGAACGAAAATGCTTTTCACCTGTAAAAACAAACAAACAAAAAAAGAAAAAGACAATAACTCAAAAATACTTTGCAGCCTTTTATTTGATGCTCCACTCTTTCTCTTACGGAGGGAGGATGAAGGCTGAGTTGGACAGCAAATGATTCGCTCCTTTCCTTTCTCCATCTGGGTGGCAGCTCGATTTGCAAAAAGAGAACACGGTTTATGAGTACTTTAGAGCTGAGTTGTGGCCTCACTCCTTCAGGACGTCTTTTTTTTTTTAAGAAAAGGTCATGTCTCAGTGGGACAGAAAGTTTCGATGTCACAGTGAGACTCAAGTTAGCTCCTGATGATAAGAGGAAGAGGGTTGTTTTCATACTGAAGTGTAATGAAATGTCAGAGGTCAGACAGAAACATGTAAAAAATATTTCACATACATGTGGAAGTGGCTAACAAGGCGGGCTCTTAATTACAAAGTGCAATTTCACCACAAAAAGGAAGACACGGAGGAGGGAAGGTTTAATCTCAAACTCTAAATTATTTTAATACAGACTTTTTTCTGTGCTGTCTCCATGTGGCAACGGAGGAGAACCTGTGCACTAAGCGGCCCATGACCGAGTCACCCTGACTTGAACCCACTTCTCTGTGTCAGTTTTTTTTTTTTTTTCTTTTATTTTGTCATTTTGAAATCACAGGTTGGGGTAAAACTGTGGAGGAATGAACATGGTCACAGATTGGCTTTTAAAGTGCTTACAAAGAAGGGCTACAAGCTCAGACACACGCCCTGCCTGCTTGGGCCAGGGGTGTTCGATCAATGGGAAGGGGGGGGTTAAACATTCCACGTTCGTTCTTTTTTTTTCCTTTTATTTCTGTCATGGAGGCTGCACCGGTGCCTGTTAGCATAAGAGGTCTGGATCATGGTGCAAGCTGCCGAGAGCTGCCATCGCATTTCAAAAAAATGGCTCTAGCTGTGTGTGCTGCACGGGGATCTCCCCAGGCCTCCACCTCCCACTCACACCCTCACAGCAGCAGTTTTCAAACGATCGAAGCAAATTCTAGATATATAAATATAATATAAATATATATATATATAT